GTAGAGCACATCGTTTTAAGAATATTAAAGACTAGTGGAACGCCCCGATTTCACTCGAGTGCTAATTTGCGGGTTTTTAATTTGATAACATGAACATAATATACAGCTTATTTCACTCTGCAATAATGCTCCTTTTATACAGTGAAATAATTTCTGAAACAAATAAAATCGCAGCAGTTTTCGTAGTTTGCTTTCTCCATAGAATATTTTATACTAATATTATATAGAGAGTAAGAAAGAACTCTCTGTATAATATATAATATTAGTATAAATTGTCGGTGGTTCACATTCCAGTGAATGTGGATTCCATTTTCTATTGCACGAAAATGGAATCCACAATCACTGGAAATATTAAATATTAAAATAAAATTTCAAATATTAAATTTGTATTTCTGATTGTGTCTCTTTGTATTTGTCAGTTTTAAATAATCTAAATCATACAAGTATATAAAAATGTCTGACATTATTTAGTACTACATAATATAAGGTCACCATAGTTTAGGGCGTCGTGAATTATTTAGAATAAATAAACTTTCGCTTTAGATTAAGTATAATTATTATCCTCTGAACAAAATAAATTATTATATTGGCGTGTATCCAAATACGAAGAAATTTGATAAGATAGGATGGAGTAGATATTCACCTAATCTAGGAATCAGGGCCATTCGGATATGCATATCTGAGAGTCATTACACAAAAATAAATGGAAAAAAATAAAATAAAAAAGTATCCTGGCGCCGAATGCGATGATAAGATTAGATAGAGTAAGTAAATATGACTACGAGTATGAGCTATTGAATTGTGACTTCACCCCAAAATTTTCCGTGTTGGTAAAGGGAGAGGTCATTGCTATTAGCTATTATCGATTATGAATAATATAGACCTCAAATTTAAAAACATTTATGCATATAGAACCTTTAGGAGTCTCGTGCACGTCATATTTTTTATCTATCCCTACCGTTCAATTCCGATAACTACTTCAGTTGAGAAGAACTGACAAGATACTCAACTGCAACATTTATGTTATGTTATGAGTAGGTACTATTTTTTTAGTCGGTTTATATATTATTATTATTCTATCCTTCAGTTTACTACTAATATATAAACGGACTAGAAAACAAGTTTCCAGTAACCTGGCTTCGCACAAATCTTTAAATTTCTCAACTAGTTATATACTATAATACACATTTATTATATATATAAACCTTCATCTTGAATCACTCTATCTATTGCTGAAAAATGCAATTACAAACCCGTTGCGTAATTAAAAAAATACAAGTGAACAAGCAGAGGCGGCGACTTTGTTTTATATTATGTAAAGGAGTACCTTTCAAAGTAAAATGTGCCGTAGGGTTAAGATCATCCTACGCTACAAAAATATTTGTAAGTTAGAAATTTTCGTGAATAATATTAAGTTTGTTTAGTTGATTAATATATTTTGTACTGGTAGGTATTTTTGGATCACTTACCAAGGTAGATTTATACAAAATACTCTGCGTGGGTAAGTCTCACCTATTACAACCAACAAAAAGCGAATTTCTGAAGAATAAAATTACATTAGTTCTCATTAATAGTAACGCATGAGGTGTCTATAAGCATATTTGGTGGGCCGTCAGCTTGCCAATAGAGTAACCTAAAAAAAAACCGAACTGAAGAATAAAATTACATTAAAGCAAGAAGTTTCTTATACTTTTGTGTTTTTTAATCATAGTTATCCTTCTTTTAATCTACTTCTCACTGGGAAAGGTTGTAACTTTACATTTTTAAGTTGAAACGTGTAAATACAAACTACCAAATAGCACTAATTTATTAGGTTCCAATATTGAATACACAATAAGATTAGAGAGTAGCTTGCAGGGCTATATTGCTATTATAAAATGTTCTATGCGTGTATTTATTTATGCATTTGTAGCACGGAAGAGGGGGTCACAGCTGAGAGGTGCCCAGTGATCGGAAACAGTCTCTCAGTTAAGCAACTATGTAGTTGTAATCGTTGGAGTTATAACATCCACACCACACCACTATCGAGACGAGTTTCTACCGTTCTGTTAATTACGTTATTTGTTATAGAGAGTACGCTGCCTTATATGACATCACACAATATCTCCTTCTTAATCCATTCGTGAAGGCTGAGGTCGTGACCACCAGGAATAATAAATAAAATCTACTTTTCAAATTCAAAATATCTTTATTCATGTAGGTCTATTACAGACACTTATGATATGTCAAATCTACTTTCTTTCGACTAAAACTCTCCAGCATCTCTATCTTGTGTTGAGTACATAGCTGACGACTATACATTTGCCTTAAGGTGCCCCATTTCTGTCCCTTCTTCCGTCCACGTATCCTACCAAAATTTCTAATTCCAGACGGGCCACATGATCGAATGCAGCAGTCGCTGGAAGCACACAGTAACAGTAATATTGGGCAAAATTTTTATCATCGGATAAAAATTTAGCCCAATATTATCACGCTGGCCAGAGGTACCTATGCGCCGCTGTTTTTATTTTCGCGTGCAGTTAAATAAACGAGTTTATAATCCTTATTTCTCGAACATTCACTTATTTTGATTTGCGTCAAGTAAGGTCATAGAGTCACTAGTACACAAAAGACAATTGACTTTATACATAAATGTATGTAGGTAATATTAAACGTTATTGTGGATTCAATGCAAATTGTATTGAAATCAGAATCTTGTAGGCTGTATTGTTGCAGTCGCTGTCTATTACTATGTGTAGAGGTAGGTAGGTATACTTTCTTTTAACCGACTTCAAAGAATAGGTTTTCAATTCAATTCTACTGCATGTTTACGTGATAATGTGTTCGTTGTATATTTTTTTAAACGAAATGGTTCAATTCCATTTTGATCCTACATTAAAATCATCACGTCTGAAGTTTTCTTTCGTTAAATATCATAGTTATTTTCGTATTATGATCTTATAGTGTACCACTGTCATATTATTGGTAAAAGACAAGAATAACTTGGTAAATTCATTTCACTTTATATTTACGATCACTTTATTTTGAGATCGAACTGAGCCCAATATTAAAACTGATTCTGCAACTAATAACATTTAATCATTAAACAAGACTCATAAAACATATATATTAATCTAATTTAGTGCAACATAAAACTAGATTGTGTAGGATTGAACCTGCGACCCCACTTTCCATTACACGATTCAATTGAGCTGTGACTCACGGCACAGCAGTCGATGTGACGCAACCAATCTTACAGCATAATGTATAACATCAAGTTACAACACCGGTACAGAACTTTCAAAAAGTTTTGTTTTAGTGACTTAATAATTAAAAGATAAAATATAATGCGAAACACATTTTAAGCATGTCCATATTTTATATAATTCATCAACGTTTGAAGAGTTCGCAGGTAACGAAATCTTGTAGCGCAGACCTTACAAACTATGTCTATTAATTTTCATATAGGTACAATAAAAGAAATAAGATTAGTACATATATCCAAATTATTTTAAATGCCCTCGTAGGAAATTGAATGTTGAATCATAGAATAATCTACTTGTAAATGTAGTACCTACTGAAAATTTGATAACCAAGTATATGTTATTGTATAATTAACGTTTTATCTAGTGTATACTTTTTGTACATACTAGCCATAAAAAAATTAACAGGGTTCGATCCTCAGCTCAAGCCGTCGTATTTTAGATCCCCGTTTGAATTGGACAGAGGATCAATCGGAGGGCAGTAATAAATTGTGACTATTGTCCGATTTCCTACCTCTCCAATGATAAATCATAATAATATATGTAATCCAATACACTTAGTATCAATACAAATATTTTTATTTGCAATTCTGTACATATAGAATAATAAATGGTACGTCGTCAAAGGTCCTTTGTAATCATTGTCGTGCGATCCATATAACGTGGGAACTTTATACGGATTCTAATAGCATACTGGTTAGCTTCAAGTAGGAAGTAGTAATAAAAAAACAGTATCTAGTGATCACGCATGCGCAGTTCCCGTGTTGTTGCACGGGTGCCATGCGCCACCTGTCGAACGTTAACCTCTCAAGCCGGCTGTGTCATGAGAAATTAACTTGAAGTATGGTATTCTAATTGTAAATTAATTCTAAAGCCTAAATATAAACTGGTCATACACGCTACGGTATAACATAGATTAGGCGGATTGACGAAATCTGACAAAAACTCTAAAAATCAAGAAATCCAGAGGTGAAGAATAAAATTCACAAAATCAAGCTCTTTAACCATACTTGTTTTCATATTTGTAAATAATAGGACATTTAAATAGTTAACACAGTTTATTTATTGGAGTTGTCTTTGTAGATATCTTAATCTCAAATTTTTAAATACCAAAATAATTTTGGAAAATTGTTTTAGAGAAATAAAAAGTATTGGATTAAATACGTAGTGATAGCAATCAAGTCTTGCTAGAACAAAAATCATTGTCACTTCCTATAGCAGCGAACAGGCTTTGATTAATGACCTGACGTCTCGAGGTCGACAAAAAAACGTCTGGACGCAAATATACGGATGCAACACGATTTGTTTTGCGGAACTATTTGATAATAATGAGAACCGGTACATAGAATGGCCCAATTTTATTTAATTATCGCTAGCAATTGGTCACGATTTTGTATACATGGATATTATGGTAATAATTGTATGCGAAAGTAGCGTATTTATAACTTTGTTACTGTCTTCCACATATAAACAAACCGATATTTTTTGAAATGTAACTAAATACCTTCCACTTACTATTATTATATTTAAGTACAAAATATAATGAAAAAGTTTTTGTGGGTAGGTTATTTATTGTTTATGCCATATTCAAAAATAAATTACTATTTATTATTAAATAGAAATTCAAATAAATATTAAAGTCACGGTGTAGTGTACATATATTTTAATGATAGACATATTTGATATCATAATTTGTCAATTTATAAAATAAATATACTTACCTAAATGTTTGATAAAAAAATGTTTATTTGTCTACAGGTGACAATGGCAGCACACACGCTTTGTACCTCGAAACGATAGTGGAAGAAACCAGCGATGATTTGCGCTCGGAACGTTCATCAGCCGCTACTTGGCTATCTGATTCAGATGCAGACTCTGTCATACATGTACGAGGACCTGGAGGTATTTAGCTAGTTATAATAGATTTCTATCTAATCTTTTAATAACAATCATCCTTAGTATTTTTTTGTGATACTGCCATCTATTATTATACAGCTAAACTACATCCATAGTCTGCTTTCACCATGAATGTAAAGTCTGCTAGAAACGTGTTTGCTAGTAAACTAAATATTTGATAGATGGCGCTGTTCGTATTAAAGGTATTTGTAATAAAAAACTTGAATAAAACGAAAATATACATGTCAATATTATTAATTTTATTATATTTACGATTTTATTACAAAATACAACAAAATTTTTTTTTGGCTTAATTTCTATAATGATAATTTTGATACAATAGAATTTATGTAGACTGATGTTATGGACGTCGTGCTAGTATACAATATGTAATACAATGTGTATTTCACAGATGGCGCTGTACTAATAAATATGTGGAAAACCAAAAATAATTTATTTTACACATAAATTACTTTTCTTATTATTATTACCTAATTAGAAAAAAATCGATAGATAGTAATTATTGTAATAGTTATGTAAAATTTTTATAGTACTGTCGAATTTTTATTCCATATCACAGTTATTGATTTTATCTCGAAGTCTGGCATTCGGGTTTCATTATAATTTATGTAGGTGCTAGGCTAGACATAAATCTCTTGGCCGTCTTCCAAGTGATCATAGCCCGTACCAAACAATTCTGTGTCACTGTCATTACCAGTCTCATACTAAGGCGACACAACGTATCTTTTGATTCTGTAGAACATTGCAGTACAGTTTTGATATTGAAATACGCTTTTGTTTATTTAATAGGTTCGGAAGATAGTGAGTCGGAGCGGGAGTGGGCTTGTCCGGCTAAGCGAAGACGACGGGAGCGCGCATCTTCACCGGCTAGCTCAGGATCACTCTCACGCTCATCCAGCCTCGCGCAGTTCGAGTCACTCGAACGGTCCTGTGCAGCGCCCGTCTCGCCCAGCCTCTCGCCGGACTCGCTGGAGTCACCCCCCGCCTCCCCGCCGCCCGCACGTGCACCAGCGCAGCGAACCCACCTCTCAGCAGAAAATTTAAGCGAAGACAGCGGGTATAGCGAGCGATCGCGGCGACCACCACCGCCCGCGCAGCGCCGTCCGCCCGAAATAGCGCATCGACCGCCCGCGGCCGGCAGCGCGCCGTGCCTAACAGCATCACCCAGTGCTGAACGCCGCCCGCCTCGTGCCGCGCGCGCTCTATCGTTACCTGCCGAGCTCGACGTATGTGCGGAATCGCGACGACATATTGTGCATCGGGCGCATTTTCGACAGACCTTCGAAGTTACCGATAACCTTACAGTCAGCGTGGCCGACCTGACCGCTTTAGACTACCGCGGCGGCCCGCGCCGCCCGCGACTTCCGCCGCCACCACCGCCACCGCGTACGCCGCGCTTGCCACCACCGCCGCCACCCTCCGTCGATGTGGTTACACGGCGATGTGCTGCCTCACCGGTCCGCGAACCGAGCGCCGGCAGCGACTCAACGACGGAGTCGGAACGTGCCTTCGCGCGTGAGATGGAAACAACAGCTAGACAGCTAGACGAGACTGCGCGGCGAGCTCTCGCGGAAAGTGGTGATTTCGAACGTGGTTTATCTGTTCTTACAACTACGCGACTGCAAGACTCTTGGGGTGCGTGGGATGACGTACTCGATGAGTTACGACGTCGCCTGGAGCCCCAGTCTGCAACACCTTCACCACCTCGAACGCCGTCGCCGGACCCGATTCGAGAACCTGTTTTCAGTTCGACGCCTTTAAGATCCGGGGATGCTCGAGTTAGATCTACTCCAGAACTCCGTGCGCGTGCTACCCCACATCGTGAAACTCCAGATGAACTCAGGGCTTCATTACAATTAGTAGCTGCCGCGCCGCCCGGCTTAATACCACCAGGTCGGTCGATATCTACAGGCTCAAAGGGTGTAACGTTCTCTCCTGTGGTCGCCGAAGTGAGTTGGCGAGATACAAGCACGAGTACTACAGAGAGCGAGACAACCACGAGCGACGATGCAAATGACGCAGAGGTGGTGTTTGTGGAGGGGGGAGGCGAGGAGTCGCGCGCGCCGGCCGCAGAACGTGCCGCCGACATGACGGATGCGGGCGCGCGCGCGCCGCGCAGCCGCATCGCCGGTTTCCTATCGCGGTTCGCGAACTTCCGATTTTCGGGACGCAAGGAGAAAAAAACACGGAGCGCAGGCGCGAACTCTCGACCGGTTCCCAGCGCGTTACCGGCGTCAGATGCGGGGCAGGGACCGCGCGGGGCGGCCGCCGGGCCGCAGTATGTGCGTATCCCGCTGAAAGAGGAGGGTGTGTCGCGGGCGGCGGCACCCCCCGTGGCGGGCGGTGTGGCGCACAAGCCTCCGCGGCCGCGCCCGCCGCCCGCTCCGGCGCCCGGCGTGCTGGAGACCGACGTGGACACGCAGCGCACCGTGCTGCACGCGCGCTCTCTGCTCGCGCTCGCGCCACCGGAGCAGCGCGCACCTCGCCCTCACAAGTCCATGGAGTTCCTGCTGGACAAGGAGAGTGCGCAGACCGTACAGGTGAGTTACAAATTCATGTTTCTATTGAGTCGCGACGGATGCAATGTTTACAAACAGCGCGATCGATGCCGGCCGTCGACCCCACACACCGCGCGACCCTATCTCTAAGGAACGTACGACACCTTATATACTCTTATCTTGCTTTACGCTTAAAATTCACACGGGTTTCTACTTAGAGGGCCCGCCGGCGGCGAAAGCGCGGATAGCATCACGTACTGCAGCGCTACGTGCCACTGTAGTCAAGTCATGGTAGTCAAACAACCGGAATAGAATAGTAACTAGACAAACACATCTTAAACTATAAAAAGCACGTCAAAGTCGACGGCGAACTGCATAAACATAATAAATAGGCCCCGTTAACTAGATACGTAATAAATTAAAGGGGGCCCGGCCCCGCACTGTCCCCCGAGGGCCGTTACAACACGCGGCCGTGTTCACACGCAATCTATTCGCAAAGGACGGAGGTGAAAGTGCGTACATCTGCACAATGTCGCTATGCATTATGTTAGCGCACCATATCCATAACAAGAGTGGGCGTAACTGTAATTCAATCGGAGCCTGTGCTGTAATAATCGACTACATTCCAACTATTGATTTCCAGATGAGTTACCTGCATCTACCCTACTTAATGGGAATAAGTATCTAGTGGAAAAGTAATGCTTTTAAAAGGGCCCCAGAGCTAATAACTCTTAGATAAGACAACAAAAGGCACCCTTAACAATAATAAATTACGAACAAATAAGGAATGAACGAGGCAATTATAGCAAAAACTTCGAAACTACACATTCCCACGTGTTTGGAATTAGATGTAAGCATGACTACAAATGCATTAGAGATAAGATACACCTACCTACTAAATCTGATAGTATAATTTTGCAATAATCGACATTTAAACATGTCTGAAATATTTAGAACTGGGAAACAATCATTTACGTAACTAAAGGCACAGGCCAAGTAACTGTTCAGTTGACTAATGGTTAAAAGACCTTTGAAAAATTCACAGTACCTACCGACAGCAAAACCACTTGAGACGTAAAACATTGTATTATGCATAACATTAAATTGATACCCATGACATATTAATCATGACCATAGCCGAGTACACTGGTGACCACATCATGTGTGAAGTCACCTTACGGGCATCAACGTGAATAAATTGTAATACACGTTGACAAAGTAATTTTCCTTGAACATAATGCAAATAATTATAGTTATTGTTACACGCAAATGAGTTTATAAGTAATATTGTTGTTAGATATTCGTATATAACGCAGGTAGTGTGTTGTATGTTGGCTGTTTTGGAACATATATATAAAAAAAGAAAACTTTGGAAAAAACATAAAACTGGAAGTTGAAGAAGGAAAGAAGAAAAATTTTACTAAAACAACTATAAGAAACTTATATAACTTCTTATAGTTCTTTTAGTAAAATTTTTCTTCTTTCCTTATTTTTCTTCTTAACTTATTAAGATAATTCTAGAATATTTTTATTATGCACTTACAACATAGTGCATTAAGTTAAATCAATTTATGATATGTTTTCATGGGAACACATTACTGTACTAAAACGTCGCTGTGCCCATTCATACAGTTGACGGGTGATAACAATATAAAAAGCTGACGTGCCGAAGTCGCTAATAAGTTTATTGTATATAAGAACTGTTACAAAATTGACTTAACTAAGTTTTTCTATGCAGTAGGTATCTACATATATAATACAATTAGTTCTTAAAAATTATTTATCATCAAGTCCAGTGCAAAACAGTTTCATATAATAATATGAATACAGTTTTTACTTTTAATTTTGGGCTTGAGCTTATTTATCAGGATAATGTAAACATTTAAACGTCTTTAGAAATTCAAATTATATTACTATTAAAGGATTAGAAGTAGAATTATATATCTGTATTTAGCGATACCTTATGACCCAGTAGACGTCGCCCAGCGCGAAAAAACAGCGCCACCTACCGTGTTGTTTTATATACGTATCAATGGTATTTTCAAACCACCAAGAAACCCATTTGAATATACAAATTTTAATCACAATTAGTCCAGCAGTTTATGAGTAGGTAGGTGACAAACATACTTACAAGAAAATTACATATACCTAAAAATGTAAATATTAAAGTTATATTTAAAAACTATATGTGTATAGTGGAAGATGTAGGAAGTTTTGTAATTTCACTTTTCTAGATTAATAGATATTCTACAATAGTATATAACCAAGTTAATTTCAAAGGTATTTCGTTTTTATGAGTACTAGAATATCGACAGTAATAAAAATCGAAGTGCTCTATTTCAGCAAACACTTGAAATTCCGACCTTTCATTCGCATAATATATAGTCTATAAAATCACTAATACCAATAAATTTATTATTTGTATTTAAGTTTTTTTCTGAAGCATAATAGCAAATAGAAAATAAAACTACGGCTTCGTAGTATTTCTAAAAACCATAGAGTATTAATATAATTTATTATTTTGCTATTAAGTCACGATGACTGTACAAATGTCATGAAATTGGAAGCTTCAGTGAATTTTAGGAATACTAGTATCTATAAGAGTCAATACTACTACAAAGTTGTTGTAAAGTACTAAGTATTAGGACCTATGTTATAAGAAAGAGATGAGATTTCGTCTTGTGGAACCTATACTTCTCAGGAGTATATTTTAAAACTCTTTCTTTTGATATCTACTTTTTAATACTTTTTTACGGCCATTACTCCTCATTGTGATACAAAACCTACTTACAGTTAACTTTTAGTACCTTACCTACTACCCATAATAAAATGTTCAATAATGATATCTTCGAAGTATAAATAGCTTCGAGGATGATTGATGATCAATGATTAATTAACTTACTTGACTCTATACTTTGAGTAGTTTCATAAATATAGGAATTATTTATTATCCTTAAATGCGAACAAATTTCCTTTAAAGCCAAACATATATTTAACTACTTATATAAACAATAAATTACGCAATTTAACATTTATTTCATAGGTCAAGAATGCTAAATACTAATGTGATTGTGGGTTTTCATTGAACCTTTTTTGCTCGCCAATCCAAACAAAACTGAGTGCCGGCCATGACCAATTTGGTCAACTTTAGCCTCGACCAGTCGACGCGTGTGAAGCCACTTTCAGAATCGATACTGGACTAGACAACTAAGTAATCACAGAAGGCAATAAATCAAGCCTTACAATTAATACGCTGTTATTTTAGAGGCTTTCGCTACGAATTTTCCCTGCGCAGATTTATGCGCAAAGATTTTTCGCACTCCTACTTACACAAACTGCAGAGACAAGTATCGATCATTTCTGTGGGTGTGTTTTTCTAGAATTGTGCGGGAAAACCACCTCAGCGAGTTGCACGGAAATCTCTTAAAATATTAAAACCTTGAGCTACCACCAATATACTCTCTATATTAGAAACTACCATAGAAACTAACATAATTTGGCTATAAAATATAAAATTATGGCCTCAGATTCGAAAAACATAATTATTTAGTGCATCTGAAAATATAACAATCATTTTCTGAAAATATTCTCCGTTTAATCGATAATTCTGGACCAATCTTGTTGCTTTTTATTTATTCAATAGGACCGAGAGGGTCAAATATATCCTAAATATCTACTGTTCTGAGTATTCCATATCTCATACTGAAATGAGAAAGTGTATAGAAAGAATCTCTGACATTATGTATATGTATCTACTCAGTACTCACTAACTGCTGCACTTTCAATTATCACATATTCGTTAAAGGAAATAACAATGAAACCGAAACGGTACAAGATTCCTAGTTATTTTATCAATTTACAATGGGATTTTAATTTCTACGTCACGTTTAAATCGTTTAAACTTAAATTTCTTCACGTATTATTTACTTCACGTTTAACTTTAAATTTTCTACGAACGATTCATAGACTCTGTAATCGTCCTTTGGTCAATTCGACTATAAAAAAATCTAAAACATATCTTAACCAACATTAATAATTAAATAAGTAGTGTGTGTAATGTTTTTTTATGGATAATTAAAAAAATATTAACATTCTGCACTCCATCTCTATCTGAACTATAAGTTTGCGAAAATTTATAGTCCTCAATCCGAGCAAGTTTTTGCTTAATATTTATATAATGATTATGTGTGAGGATCAGCTTAAATAGATTACATAGGCGAAATTTATTTTTTAATTTTTTATGCAATTAAAATGGCAAATAAGATGTAGGCCTTAATGGTAACCGTATGCTATAACATGAACAGCAGCACGGACGTTGCGTATTCATGTGACCCATATGTTGTCATTACGGAGGACTATCATGCCTGTAGCTTATATTTTCACTGCTTTAACTAACCTTTCAATCGAAACACACCTTGCAAAGCACCCTGCTCGCTGGTTAAAATAGATGAGACACAGGCAACCACGCAGATAACTTCGTACATAGACTACTTTGATAAAATATTATACATAAATAAATAAGAATGTAATTTGTCATTTTATTTAATAATTTAAATAAGTAAATAAGTCAACAGCAGTGCTATATTTGAGTACATGATCATCAAACACAAATACTAGTGAGGTATTAAATAAATTCATTCAATAGTATGTGTAGTTATTTAGTTTTTTTTTTTAATTTACGGCTTCCTGTAAAGTCTAAGGAAACTAGTTGTAAAGCTTAGATTGTTTACATTTTTTTATCTGTGGCTCCTTACGACGGCATAGTAAATATAGGTGCGTCAACATAGTACCCACCTCGCGTATTCAAGACGTTAGTCATTCACTACAACCGGTTGGGTCACACCACATCTCCATTTTGCGACCTTGCCGCCTGCATTTGTTATGATAATAAACGAACGCTTTACAGTTAGTCAATGGACAGAATCTATTTTTAAATTGAATCCCAATGAAATGCTACTGGCAAAGTTTTGAAAACAATGAGAATGTTGGTTCATAACTCGTAACCTAATTGTCACTGAAAAAAAAGACAAATGAATAAATAA